GTTGGATAAAAAGCGCAATTTTTATACGTGTGCATGCAAAACAAATTTCTTGGTAGAGGGGTCTAAATACAGCACAAAGAACATTTTCCAAAAGACCAAAAAAGTGAAAAAGTATATTTTAACAAAACGCATTTGACTAGCAGGTCGAACAACGGATGTTCTTAAACCGTGCTGACTGCCATTGGCGATTGCCAAATAAACGGATCACCAGATGTTACATTATGGATCTTAACTATTAATTAAATACCAAACAGAAAACAATAAACTTGCGATAAAGATGGTATACCGCAAACAAAAGGTGCAAAAATTAGTACACCATATCCGGATTTCGATAATTAATGTCTCTTCAGTGATGTTAGGAATCGAAACTGTATTTGGAAGGCCATATAATTTACCTCAATTTAGGATAGACTCTTGAATTTTGAAGAGTCGAAATAGGATGAACGGATCATATAAACCCGAAGGCAAATATAATACAAGACCAAACGAAAAAATAAAAACTAGTCTAAATTGAAAACAACGTTCAAACCTATGATTGCGTTTGATAAAAACCGCAATTTTTATACGTGTGCATGCAAAACAAATTTCTTAATAGAGGGGTCTAAATACAACAAAAACAACATTTTCCAAAAGACCAAAAAAGTGAAAAAATATTTTAACAAAACGCATTTGACTAGCAGCTCGAACAACGGATGTTCTTAAACCATGCTGACTGCCATTGGCGATTGCAAAAAAACTATATATATATAGATTTTTATAATTACAGCAGATGATACCTTAAATGAAATACATAGGATGCTGATGGAAAAAAGTCAATGATATGTGATAATAGTCAAAGGGAATAATAACCCATTTAAGATATCGAACTTTAAATACTATTGAACTGTATGAAAACTATATATGATAAGATTAAAAGGAGAAATGCCTGTATCCCATTACATATCTCATGATATGATAAACAACTCGGCTGTTTGACATACAGCTCATCATCCTGTGGACATTAATCTTCCCACGTATCTGTGTAGAATTCATCTTCTATATCATATCACTAAATAACTTTACAAATTTTCTTGTCGAAGAACGATGGTTCTCTACGAGCACTCCGGCTTCCTTTACCAATAAAAAGTGACCGCTAAGAAATAGCCAAGAGTGCTAAAAGTGACACAAAACACCAATCAATCAATCAATCTCTTGATAATTTCCAAATCTAAACCTACATAAACATGAAAACTGTCACCAATGATGCTGAGTTCATAGATAATCTTACTAAAACATCCCATCTCAAAAGAATTTAAAGTCATTTGAATTCTAAACCAGCTAATTCAGATTCAGCATTGTAATATAAGTTTTGCAGGTTGGTATCTGTAGGTGAAAGGGCATCACTGTCGCGCGTAGACAATTTTCCTCTAATTATTTTCTATTTTGCTGATGGTATTGTCTGTTTGCATTGGACTTTGGGTTTTTTGATTTTCCCCTTGGCCGTCTTTTTAGATCGCAGTTCGGTTTTGATTATTTATAAGGTTTATTGAACGATTAACTGTCTTCGTTTAATTAGCCACTTTAACCAGTGTATGATATTTATTGCCATACAACAACGATCTGTAGTTATTCTGTCCATTCTAGTGTCAGACATATAGGTTGCTCACTGCCTATCAAACTATAACTCTTTTTGTATACCCACAGGTAAAGTAAAACTCGTAAGAAACCCCTACGAAATTATTAGGACGAACAACTAAAATTATAACTTAAAAGTTCGTGACGTGTCATTATAAATTTTTTCATCGATACAGCATATCGGTTCTAAAGTCTCTAAGAGGAATAACATTTCAATTTATGTCAATCTGTCATCACTACCGTTTTGGGAGTGTTGTCGTCACTACAACAAACTACTGGGTTGACATGACGGGTATTGCATAAATAGCAGAGGTACTTACTCTGCCGACACAACTCTTCTCACCTTGTTTGTCATTCATCGATTCCTTTCGTTTCAACCTAATTGCTCTGTTTATCATTTTCCGGACTTATATGAATGATAGGAAAAACTTCATTTATATTAAATTGAAAAAGAGAAATGATAAAACAGAAATCCTACAAAAAGATTACCAATTTCTTTTGTAAAAAAGTATCATGTTCACATACATTGCATAACAGTTATCTAAAACAAATGTCATTCCATTGTCAATTTTGTTTTTGTTTGAAATTTTTGTTTTCGTTTTTCAAAAGTTTGTGTAGACCTCTGTACTCGCTCGGAGATGTATGGTATTGCAAAAAATTCGGACATATCACTGACAACAGAACGAGATGTGTTACATTGCTCCCAAGTAATTCCGATCGATCATAATATGATGTTTTTCAATGGTATGTGAAATATTTCTATCTTGTATACTGATCAGACGACTATGCAGATATCTAAAGACCTAAGTCCGCATAAACATTCCGCTGGCGAGTTAAGAAACCAACACATCGTATCAGTCAACCAATTTGTGATACAGACTGTTAAACTTATGTAATGTTGATTCCAGTTGTTCTTCCTCATAACTCTTTTAAAATAGTTTGTGAAGAAGGAGCACACTATGGTTTATAAAGTGTATATAGTGAGAAATTCACGAGTGTAACGTATTAACTGAGATATGTAAACGCGATACGATTCAGCAGAGGGTATGTTACTGCTAAGAAATGGGATGTTGTCAATTAGAAAGTTGAAAGCATAACGATTGTCATAGATTCGTTAATCATGTCCTTTCCTGAAGTCAAGTAATTAGCGGTTGGTTGTGGTAAATTTTAAAGGGTAGCTTTTGGTTTTGTGGAATATCTTTTTGTTCTTTTTTTGAATTTTTGCAAACATACAAGTTATGATATATTTCTATGCGTATGCAATATTTTCTTTCCAAATGGTCCGCAAAGGATCATTATTTTGACCAACACAATGACTTTTACAATTTTTTCATTTTGGTAATGTCAGTTGAACTGGAGTTAAATTTTGAAATTAAATAAATCAAAAATGCACTCTTGGAAAAAAATACCATCTTATTAGTGAGAAAATCAAAATACATGTAAAATTTGTTTTCATTTAATTAAAGATTATACGCATTTCAAAGGTTGTTCTGATTTTATCAGAAATTTATCATGATGATTCAAACATCAAATTAAAATTAAAAAAAAGGTTGGAAAATGGAAGTATTACAATGGTCGATGAAATAAGAAGTCGTTTTGGGTCTGTAATTGTATGGTTGGATCAATCGTAAAAAATATCAATACGCTAAGTGTTTATATTAAGCTAACTAAAGAAAACGGTAAAATAAGAGACAATTAGTTAAACAACTGATAAAAGAGAGACATCAGTATATTTATATATATATAGATTTTAAAAGTTACAGCAGACGAGACCTTATATGAAATACATAAGATGCTGATGGAAAAAAGTCAATGATATGTAATATGTGTCAAAGAGAATAATAACCCATACAAGAGATCGAACTTTAAATACTATTGAACTGTATGAAAACTATATATGATTAGATAAAAAGGAGAAATGCCTGTATCCCATTACATATCTCATGATATGATAAACGACTCGGCTGTTTGACATACAGATCATCATCCTATGGACATTAATCTTCCCACGTATTTGTGTAGAATTCATCTTCTATATTATATCACTAGATGAATTTTACAAATTTTCTTGTCGAAGAACGATGGTTCTCTCCGAGCACCTCGGTTTCCTTTACCAATAAAAAGTGACCGCTAAGAAATAGCCAAGAGTGCTGAAAGTAGCACAAAACACCAATCAATCAATCACTTTATGATTTCTAAATCTTAATCTGCATAAACATTAAAACTGTCATTAAAGATGCTGAGTTCATAGGACATTTTACTAAAACATCCCACCTCAAAAGAATTTAAAGTCATATGAATTCCAAACCAGCTAATTCAGATTCAGCATTGTAATATAACTTTTGCGGGTTGGTATCTGTAGGTGAAAGGGTATCAATGTCGCGCGTAGACAATTTTCCTCTAATTATTTTCTTTTTTGCTGATGGTATTGTCTGTTTGCATTGGACTTTTGGTTTTTGATTGTTCCCTTGGCCGTCTTTAAAGACCGCAGTTGGGTATTTTGATAATTTTTAATGTTAATTGAATGATTAAATGTTTTCGTTTAATTAACCACTTTGACCAGTGTATAATATTTAAGGCCATACAATCGATCTGTTGTTATTCTGTCAATTCCAGTGTCAGATTTATAGGTGGCTCACTGCCTATCAAACTATACTCACATGTATAGTTAAACTCGTAAGACAGCCCTTCGAAATTATTAGGACGAACAACTAAAATTATAACTTAAAAGTTCGTGACTTGTCATTATGAAGTTGTTCATCGTTACAGCATATCGGTTTTACATATAAATTTAAATATATAAATTTCACCACTGCAACAAATGTATTACGAAATGTCTCCACTCGAGACAGTTAAACTTTAATATTTAAAGCGCGAGGCTTGCCGAGCTTTTTAAATAATTAAAATTAAACTGTTGAGAGTGGAGAAATATCGTAATACACGAGTTATAGTCGTGGAATCTGTTTCTCTAATTATTTTTATCCATTCTTTTCAAAGATTTGCAGAAAGTTGTGTTCTTTATATGTGACGTCATCAGGCAGGGTTGCCTTTTATCATGACGTCACAATAGGAAATTCCGAAGAAACCAAGAAAATTTGACGTCATAATTAAATTTCGACCAACTATTTGCCGAGAACAGACATTTCACTAGTGAGGAGAAATATGTTCCTTACACCGATCAAGAAATGTGAAAATAGCACAAAAATTAGAGAAACTTCATTTATATCAAATCGAAAAATAAAAATGATAAAACAGAAATCTTACAAAAAGTTTACCAACTATTTTGTAAAAAGTATCATTTTTTCATAACAGCTATCTTAAACAAAGTCATTCCATTGGCAATTGTGTTGTTGTTTGAATTTTTTTATTTTGTTTTTCAGAAGATGATACTGAATTTGATAACAATTCGGTGAGAAGATTGAATGTTTTTGATAGGAATTTGAGCATATTACCAGATCAGTTCTATCATGATCCGGTGGTTTCTAATGGTATGTGGATTATTTCTATAAGACAACAATGAATATCCTAATTGAATAGCAGCGTCAGATCGTGACAAAAAGTATCGTGTAATGTTTTGTCATATTGTACTAGTTCAAATATAACTTCAAAATTGACGTCATCATTTTTCAAAAGTATGTTTTATAGCATGCTTTAAATCTTTACTATACAACAAAAAGGTTATTGTATGAATATTGGTAAATATTATCCCTCGAAGTAAACCCATACATTAATTATAGATACGCATTCCTTTTGTTAGATTGATCTGCAGTGAGCACGATTCGTTTTCTTATGAATGACATTTCATTAAAAAAATCACTAGTCATAGTAGTTATATACGAAATTATTAAGAGCTCTGTTCACTGACGCGTTTACTTAGTTCTGATTGATATCTAAGTACTGTGGATTCATTTATTTTCTCGGGTACCAATTTTCGTGGATTGAGGAAAACTAGCATTTTCGTGGATATTTCATTTCGTGGTTTTGCCAATGTCTGTGTACAATGAAATAGAACCTTTTTAATTCGTTGAACCTTTAAATTCGTGGTTCACCTGTTCCCACGAAACCCACAAAAATTGTATCTAACGAATAATAATGAATCAACAGTATTACATATGTTTTTATAAATTATTTAACACAATCATATCATACAATTTGAAATTATTGGTCTCAAAAGTGCACCCGAAAGTACAAGGTGTATACATGTAACCCTCGAAACACGGAAAATATAATGCATTAATTTAAGTGTACATGTAACTAGGGTATTTCCAAGGGGTATTCGATACCCGATTAATGAATAACTTTGCTTTCCCTGGTTAACATATGTCGAATCATGCTAATTGTAGAATATTGCCCTTTTTATCCGACGGTCAAAGTCCCATAACTCTGAAAAGAAGAATACAAAATATTCAAAATCGAACAGTTTCTCACTGTCACTAATTCCAACAACTGGGGACTTTTTGTCTGTCTGTTTCGTGAAAATGTTATGGTAATTGGTAAAAGCAAATTTGATAATAAGTATGAAGAAGTGAAGGATATACGGACGGACGTACTACCATAATACGTCTCGTTTAAGACGGACGTTTATTATCACACTTTTAGATACACTAAGGAGATATATAGAACCTTCACAATGCTTTAAAAGTAAAAGTAAAAATGTAAAAAGTATCCAATAAATGAATACAGTATACGCAATTAATGGTACAACATGTGAACAATTAACTTCCATTTGAAAGTTAAAGTCACGCTACACAGGAAAGCCAACCCCCAAAAAAATAGTCAAATCGAAACTGGGCTCTAATTTAGTAATCCAAACTAAAGTGTAAAGTTTTTAGTAAACTAACCCAAAAGAAAGTGCTAGATTTGTTGAAAATGTCCTCAAATCCGACTGTTATGCCCCGTAACTCTGGAATGGTCTCACAAAAGAATTTTAAATCTAAAGAGTACCTCTTTCTGTCAATCCTGTTGCGTGAACTGGTAATTGGTAAAGGCAAATTTATATTAAGTATGAAGAAGTGATGGACATACGTACGGACGTACGGACGGACTACGGTATACCATAATACATCCCGTTTAAGACGGAGGTTAATTATCACACTTTAAGATACACAAAGTAGATATATAGAACCTTCCCCATGCTTGAACACCCACATTAACCATGTTTACTACATCTTACCTAAAAATATGTTACTTCGAACCACTTCAAAGCTTTTTAGAAAGCTAAAACTGGTATTAACATAGTTTATAAATCTCTGAATAGGTACGCCTGCAATTTTATTTCTGTTGTAATTTTTGCACGATGTATTTATCGTCAAAACAAAAGCTCCTCAGAGTTTGTATGTTCTACATTCAGTCATCACTTTTGGGAGTGTTCTCGTCACTCCCACAAACTGAGATCACATGACGGATATTACATAATGCGACGCAACTCATTTTACCTTGTTTTCATTCATTGGTTTCGTTTGTCAATTATTTCGTAAAAAAGTATTAGTCACACAGTATACTTATGTATTAATAATTGAGATTCAATTTCAATCTTGTGTTGTTTGAGCTCTTTTATTTTGCTCTCAAAAGTTTTTTGGAATCTTCACTTTAAATTCCCATATGTATTCAAGTTTGGTCATGTTTTAAATCGGGCAATGAAACAAAAAAAAAAAATTCATTGAGGTTATGACATACTGTATCATTGTATAGAGGGACACTTTTATATTTTTAATTGTTCGGTTTTCACTTATTATCGTATACAACAAAACTTTATGTGTATTAATACACATCCCCGTTTATTTTCTATATAGAGATTGTTTTATCTATATGTAACTTTATAACTTTATACATATGTATTATAAGGTTAAATCCTAAATATCTTTCTGCCTGTCGATAATTTTATTTTGGCATTGCACAAGTCATGTCTTCTTTGACTGTCCATGGCGTTAAAACACTAAATCCCTGGGATGTGTTTTGATTAATTTTAGTCTTTGATGCATGATTTTTTGTTATTAATTGTTTTGGGCTTTTAACTAGCTTTCAGTAACTGCGAGTACTCTCAAATCATACTTTCGTATTGATTTGACCTGTTGACACAATTTGTAATTCATTGTTGTTATTAAAGTTTGTTTGTTTTTTCTGTTTAATCTCGTCCCATTATTTTTATATGTACCACCTTTGATAAGTGTTTAGTATTACGATAGATTTTCACTTCTGTTCTCGTAGTATGACAACAAAATTATTTGAAAAACATATTTCCGTACTCCTAACAACAAAATTATTTTATTTATAGTTACCTGTGTACGTTATTTTATTTAACGCCATTTTGTCCCAGGTTATAGTTGTCTTTTGGACATTGTTTTGCATATTGTATTTATATTGTGTCATAGATCAAATTTTTTCGTTCAGTGTATGTTTACCTGTTTTGTTATTATTTGTTTTTGATCGAGTTAAGCCATTTCAATGAAAATTTATAGTGTGTCTTTCTATGTTGTAAAAAGTGAAATAACAAAAAAAAAGTTGTAATGTTATACTACTGTTTCAGGTTAGGGTGAAGGTTGGCGCCTGTTAAAACGTCTAAAGTGTTTCTCGTTTCTCGTTTTTTATATAGATGAAACCGATGGTATTCCTGTTTGAATGGTTTTACACTAGTCATTTTTGGGGCTCTTCATAGCTTGCTGTTCGATGTGAGCCAATGCTCCGTGTTGAAGGCCGTACGTTGACCTATAATGTTTTACTTTTTATAAAATTGTGACTTGGATGGAGGGTTGTCTCATTGGCACTCATACCACATTATATCTATTTAATTCATTTCATATTTTTTCTATTACAGATCTAAATGAAAAGCGATCACGGGCAAAGAAAGCCATTGTATTATTCATCTTGGTATTTTTTCTTGTCTGCTTAAATATTAGTAACTCTCTCCACGATCCCAACAACAGTACTCAACAAGAAAAGGTAAATATTTGCAGGATTAAGACCCCCTCTTTTTCCAGACAATATAGTCACATATATATGAATATACCATCATTGATTGTAATGCCAAAACATACATAGCAACAAATCTTTGAAACACATTTTAAAATTTGAAAAATGATATCACAGTTGACCGAAATGTTGGCACCTGTAATGTGTGATATGCACTGATAATGCATTGTGTATTTTTATAGTTTCATGAGTTTAATGTAGCGATCCGTTTGTACCTAAATCGCATAATCTATTTTAACTAGTTTTTACTATGATCTAAATAGAATATATTTAAAACAAATTCAATACGAATACCCATTTTATTATTTGAACCTAAGGATATTGGCTGCTCTGTTTCAAAATAACAAGCTTTTAGGAGACTATTATGAATTGATAGTATATAAGTAACGGAAATTAAAAATTAGATTAAAATGGTAGGTCCGTGTTCCTGTCATTGAGATATAAGACGTTGATAATTTGGCGTGAAACGATTCTCTCTACATTTTTCATTGATTCAACATTATCCTCTTTCTTCTTTGTTTTATTTTCTAAATGGATTTTGAAACTATATGTAATAAAATTATGAATATAAAAGAAGGGGATGAACTACATGGATAAAACGAAAAAAATCCGAATATGTGACAAAAAGTCAAAATTAGATTAGCGAACATCCTTTAACGTTATATACAGTGTTACCGTTGCACTGTGGCCTACCGAATTAGACTTGTCACCGCATTTGTACTCACATGAGCAAATGACCGGTGCTAAATGTGGAGCAGGAATTACTTACTCTTCTGGAGCACCTGAGATCACCCCAATTGTTTGGTGTGGTTTGTGTTGCTCAATCCATATTTTTCTATGTGCTGTTTTGTGTACTGTTGTTTGTCTGTAGGTCTTTTTTCATTTTTAGCTATGGCGTTGTCAGTTTATTTTCCACTTATGAGTTTAAATGTCCCTGCTGTATCCTTCGCCTCTCTGTTAAGACATATATACATTATTCATTTTTGACAGGTCAGCCAAACTATTCAATTTTACTCACATTGTGTATAACTCAAGCTACATGTAAAAGAATTTTTTTTGCAGCTGAAATTAGAATAGATGAAAATCGTCATGCTTTACCTTAACGTGTATAAAAATCAGAAACACTAAAACACGTCAAGAGTGAAAAAACCAAGGCTAAAGCAAAATTACATAAAGAAAAACAACAGTTCACAAACACTACACAAAAGACTAAAGATTGAACAATACCAACCAAAACACTTTTAGGTGAACTTCATTACTGACAACCGTCGTGTTCTCCTGGCAAATAAGTATTTGATGATCAGTTGCATTGTAATGTCACAACCGCGGAAAAGGGTGACTTGAATAAGGCAACGACAACATTAATAGTTTAAATAACCTGAATATAGATATAAGAAGATGTGGTATGAGTGCCAATGAGACAACTCTCCATCCAAGTCAAAATTTATAAAAGTAAACCATTATAGGTCAAAGTACGGTCTTCAACACGGAACCTTGGCTCACACCGAACAGTAAGCTATAAAGGGCCCCAAAATTTACTAGTGTAAAACCATTCAAACGGGAAAACCAACGGTCTAATCTATATAAAAAACAAGAAACGAGAAACACTTATGAAACACATCAACAAACGACAACTACTGAACATCAGATTCCTGACTTAGAACAGGTGCAAACATATGCAGAGGGTTTAAACGTTTTAATGGTACCAAACCTTCACCCTTTTTCTGAAACAATAGTGTAACATCACAACATAGAAAGACACACTATAAAATATCAACTGAAATAGCTTAACTCAATCAAAGAACATATTAAGTATATTATATTTTATCATTATTCTGATTATTTTGACAGACTTAATCCCCTTTTTGACATTTATGATCATGAGGATATTCTTTTTTGAATTGGAAAACTGAGGTCAGCATGCTACAACATAAATATCTTTTTTACTGTTTTTCAAAGCTGTATCAAAGAATGTATATGACAATTTAAGAAGGATAGCGAAAAATACCCCCCTCCCCCCCCCAAAAAAAAAGATCATCATTTGCAATTGTTTTGAAAGGTCTTTTGTATCTTTCAAGTCAATATAAGAATTTAGGAATACCATTTCGGATTTATATAAAGATTATTTTCGTTTTATGTTTCAGTTTTTTCGAAACTTAATCATTTTCTTCTCATGTCATTACGAATGTGAGCGGTACATAAAGACAACCAACTAAACAGCACTTTATATATTGATTATTGTTTAAAACAAATAGTTGATGATACATTACAGATTACAACGTTGCATATAGTGGAACGAAATGAAATCCTGTTCAGACGTGTGGATGAAATGAATGAAATTTCTGCATCCTTGCGTGACAAAAGTAAGCATGATATCAAATTTAATTAGAAAAAAATATCAGAAATCATAATTTGATAAGTATTCGATTGTTATAGTTACCATCAGTAAGTAAGAACTGGCAGTATTTAATTGAACGTCCAGCATAAATATTGTGGAATTATGCTTAATGGCTGATGACCAATTGCATTGCAAAAGTTGATCTTAGTCCTTGTTGTTGTTTTTTCGCCCTTCATGGTTTTGGTTATTTAGTATGGTAAATGTCCCTCTTACGTTTTTTTTTATTTATCCCGCTTTATGAAAATAACACTTTGACGGGTGCCACATGTGGAGCAGGATCTGCCTACCCTTCCGGAGCACCTGAGATCACCCCCAGTGTTTGGTGGGGTTCGTGTTGCTTAGTCTTTAGTTTTCTATTTTGTGTCATCTGTACTATTATTTGTCTGTTTGTCTTTTTATTTTTTGGCCATGGCGTTGTCAGTTTGTTTTCGATCTATGAGTTTGACTGTCCCTCTGGTATCTTTCGTCCCTCTTTTATAAATCTTAAACGTCCGAAGCGTTTTTCAGAAAAAAATGTAAATTATATGAAAAATTGTATTAGAAGCGTTATCACCTGTAAAAATCTTTTCAGATTAATATCAAATTTATATCAGATATTTATATCGGCAATGCCTTTAACAAGTTCAAAAATTAGTGCCGATCAACTATTTTTGAAAGAGTTATGCCCCTTGGAAATATTAATTGTATGGGAAATTACATTGTAAGCGCTCTCCCGTGTACAAATCTTATCAGATTTTAATCAAACTTATATCAGAGGTCGATATCAGCAATGTATTTGACGAATTAGAAAATCAGTGCCGATTAACTATTTAAAAAAGTTATGCCCATGAAAATATAGATCTAATGGAAATTTCCAATAGACGCGCTCTCGCGTGTACAGTTTTAAGCGGATTTTGTGGTAAAGAACCCCAAACATTTACTTATTTTATTTATTGCCCTTGGACAGATAAGATATGTGCAACGCGGGGGGGGGGGGGGGGGGGGGCACAGAAACGCTGTTCTTTTATTTCTAATGAAATTACTAGGCAATCAAGAATTTTCAGATCATTTTAATACAGTCTGCTATGATCATGTTGCACTTAGTCCCACTCCTTTATAATAATAAATTTTATAATATAATATACACATCTTCTGCTTTCAAACCCTTGACAAACTTTTAATTCCTAATATCAATTTCTGGTGAAATTCTTACACAAAAAGATATATGTTTCACAAACATTTCTACCAAAGACGTTGATATCGTTTTTTAATAGCTTAGTATTATCAGATTATTACATGGCATTTTTCATTTCAGATGTATTAATTTTTGGGCATACAGTGGAACGAAATGAAATCCTGTCCAGACCTGTAATTAAAATAAAAAAAATTTTTGCATCCTTGTGTGACGAAAGTAAGCATGATATCAAATTTAATTAGAAAAAAATATCAGAAATCATAATTTGATAAGTATTCGATTGTTATAGTTACCATCAGTAAGTAAGAACTGGCAGTATTTAATTGAACGTCCAGCATAAATATTGTGGAATTATGCTTAATGGTTGATGACCAATTGCATTGGAAAAGTTGATCTTAGTCCTTGTAGTTGTTTTTTCGCCCTTCATGGTTTTGATTATTTAGTATGGTAAATGTCCCCCTTACGTTTTTTTTTATTTATCCCGCTTTATGAAAATAACACTTTATAAATCTTAAACGTCCGAAGCGTTTTTCAGAAAAAAATGTAAATTATATGAAAAATTGTATTAGAAGCGTTATCACCTATAAAAATCTTTTCAGATTATAATCAAATTTATATTAGATGTTTATATCGGCAATGCCTTTAACAAGTTCAAAAATTAGTGCCGATCAACTATTTTTGAAAGAGTTATGCCCCTTGGAAATATTAATTATATGGGAAATTACATTGTAAGCGCTCTCCCGTGTACAAATCTTGTCAGATTTTAATCAAACTTATATCAGAGGTCCATATCAGCAATATATTTGACGAATTAGAAAATCAGTGCCGATTAACGCTGTTCTTTTATTTCTTATGCAATTACTAGGCAATCAAGAATTTTCAGAGCATTTCAGTACAGTCTACTATGATCATAATGGACTTAGTCCCACTCATTTATAATAATAAATCTTATAACAAAATATACACATCTTCTGCTTTCAAATCCTTGACAAACTTTCTAATTACTTATATCAATTTTTGGTGAAATTCTTACACAAAAAGATATATGTTTCACAAACGTTTCTACCAAAGACGTTGATATCATTTTTTAATAGCTTAGTAATATAAGATTATTACATGGCATTTTTCATATCAGATTTATTATCAGCCCAAGGTTCAATATCAGCCCATGAACCGAAGGCTTGAGGGCTGATATTGACCGAGGGCTGATAACACAACTTATATGAAAAATGACACGTTATGATCTTTTTATCATATGCTTCAACAAAATGGAAAAAATTACAGTTTAATATATTGATCCATTTACAAAAATGTAAATGGTTCTCATGTAGAAGTTCAAAATGTGAAAAGTTTACGGACGTCGGACGCCAAATGTAATACATCCGATATGGAATATTTCTAACATATGCCTCAACAGAGGAGAAAAACAACAGTATAATATATTTTTATATTAACCCTAAAAAAATCAACTACACATAATGAACAGTTGGAAAAGTCAACATTTGTAAAGTAGCTTTCTAAATTATGCTGGAACTTTAAAAAATGCATTTATTGTATCATTTGTTTTTTGTTTTTTGTTTTTTTTTAATTTTACATAATTTATTTTCTGTTTCCTAATAATTGTTTTGTACCCTACTTTGTAATGTTTTTCACTGAAAACGTACCATTGAGATGTATTTTCCGGAATTTGCCATGCGATAACGTTACGGAAAGGCAAGTGTTAATAGTCAGAAGCATGTGATAAATTTTTCATATCAGCCCGCTAAACACCATTTTGGAAAATATGGAATTCACGTAAATTTAATGCTATTATCATACTGTAAAAAATATAAGTTATTTACTCTAAGTATATGATAATATCAGATTATAACATGGTATTTTTTTATATCAGTGGCGTTATCAGCCCAAGGTTCGATATCAGCCCAAGAGCCGAAGGCTCGAGGGCTGATAAGACATCTAATATGAATTAGCCATAATGGACTTAGTCCCACTCATTTATAATAATAAATCTTATAACAAAATATACACATCTTCTGCTTTCAAATCCTTGACAAACTTTCTAATTACTTATATCAATTTTTGGTGAAATTCTTACACAAAAAGATATATGTTTCACAAACGTTTCTACCAAAGACGTTGATATCGTTTTTTAATAGCTTAGTAATATAAGATTATTACATGGCATTTTTCATATCAGATTTATTATCAGCCCAAGGTTCAATATCAGCCCATGAACCGAAGGCTTGAGGGCTGATATTGACCGAGGGCTGATAACACAACTTATATGAAAAATGACACGTTATGATCTTTTTATCATATGCTTCAACAAAATGGAAAAAATTACAGTTTAATATATTGATCCTTTTACAAAAATGTAAATGGTTCTCATGTAGAAGTTCAAAATGTGAAAAGTTAATGTAATACATCCGATATGAAATATTTCTAACATATGCCTCAACAGAGGAGAAAAACAACAGTATCATATATTTTTATATTGACCCTAAAAAAATCAACTACACATAATGAACAGTTTGGAAAAGTCAACATTTGTAAAGTAGCTTTCTAAATTATGCTGGAACTTTAAAAAATGCATTTATTGTATCATTTGTTTTTTTTTTGTTTTTGTTTTTTTTTTTATTTTACATAATTTATTTCCTTTTTCCTAATAATTGTTTTGTACCCTACTTTGTAATGTTTTTCACTGAAAACGTACCATTGAGATGTATTTTCCGGAATTTGCCATGCGATAACGTTACGGAAAGGCAAGTGTTAATAGTCAGAAACATGTGATAAATTTTTCATATCAGCCCGCTAAACACCATTTTGGAAAATATGGAATTCACGTAAATTTAATGCTATTATCATACTGTAAAAAATATAAGTTATTTACTCTAAGTATATGATAATATCAGATTAATACATGGTATTTTTTTTTATATCAGTGGCGTTATCAGCCCAAGGTTCGATATCAGCCCAAGAGCCGAAGGCTCGAGGGCTGATAAGACATCTAATATGAAAAATGACATGTTATGATCTTTTTATCATTAGCTTCCACAATGGAGAACAATAACAGTTTAATTGGTTCTCAAGTAGAAGTCTAAAAAATGAAAAGTTTACGGACGTCGGACGACAAATGTATTACATCCGATATGATATCTTTCTATCATATGCCTCAACAGAGGCGAAAAACAACAGGATAATATATTTTTATATTGACGATAAAAAAAAATCAACAAAACATAATGAACACTGTTTGAAAAAGTCAACATTTATAAAGAAACTTTCTAAATTATGCTGGAAACTTTGAAAGATGTATTTATTGTAACCTTTGTTTTTTTTGTTTTTATTTGCTTTTTACATAATACATTTTTCTCTCTGTTTCCTAATTATTGTTTTGTACCCTACTTTGTTATGTATTTCACTTAAAACGTACCATTGAGGTGTATTTTCCGGAATTTGCCGAGTAACGCCGGAATGCCATGCGATAACGTTACGGAAAGGCAAGTGATAATAGCCGGAGGCATGTAATAAATTTTTCATATCAGCCCGATAAACACCATTTCACAAAATATGAAATTCATGTAAATTTAATGCTTTAACATACTGTACAAACTATAAGTTATTTGCTCTAAATATATGATAAACCTATATATCAACTTTTTTTAGATCCCAGCACGAGAAGACGTTTTTCAAATTTTCGGATTTTTTTTTAAAAACTAAATTTTCTCCACACTAGAAATTGTACACCACGAATTAGCAAAAGGGGCGTTTCTCCAAATTTATGATTTTATATAAAACTCATTTTACACCTTCCTTTTTCCATTATTTTAGATAAAAAAATAAATAAATTGACAGCTGGAAACTTTTTGAATAGCAATAAAACATATAAATCAGATTTTGTTGAAATCCTAACACAAACAAGATGCTTCTCAAAATTTGTGCTTTTCTAACAGAAAGTTAGATTTCAACACACTTTTTTTTTGACACCTGGAATTAATTTTAAATTACTTATCATGTCTTTATACAATATTCTGCCAGCTTAAACAAATGATAGGTGAATTTGACTATTTAGAATAATTTTCATGAGAGAGAAATCCTAGGATAGTAAGTGAATTTTTTTTCCGGCCTAAACAGGTTTGAACCAATCATTTAAATGAGATGCCATTACCCCTTTGGAGAGGAATATCTCAAATTTGATGTAAAGTTACTTTGCAATTTTTTATTATCACAATGGAGAAATGTTAACAAAGCGTGTTTTTTGAACTTATCTAATCATCTACACACGTTTTGGTAATTTTGACAATTCAATTGAATGTATGAAAACAACGCAGTTACTAAATTTCTATGCTTTATATTCAACAAAAATGTGTAAAACTTGCTAAAATGCACCCTATATAGGCAGAACACTTTAAAGCAATTAAGTTAAAATCGTAACAAAAAAAGATCTTTCTCAGCATTCCAATCAACTGATCTTTTATGGTAAATTTACTCATCATAGATACCAGAATTACAATTTGTACGCCATTGCATGAACTTAAAATTTTCAGAAATGGGTTTAGGCAATCTGGACTTATCATATAACGTAGAAGTGCTGACAGTATCACAGACAGACAAAGTGATTAGTATAGATTTATCTTGTTTTATATACAAATCATGTCTATAAAGACTTAACAAATTGCATGAACTCAAAACGGCGCTAGACGAGGCGCATTACCTCGATGATCTGCAAAAATAGTATGTACGAACGGAAACATTTATCTTGCTTTTTAAAGTACAATTCTTTGATGTTGATTTTGTTTTCTTCACAGACAATACGGTAAATGACAGCTGGAAGTGGTGTGACCGAGGTAATCTATTAGGATATTTTCGAAATCATACAAAAACGATAAAACATGATGTAACACCAGATTTGTTTTATAAAGCAACAGAGTTTATCGATTTAACCAGATACACCCTGAATACAACAGCGATTTACAACAGGAAATCAAGATTTGAAGTATACAATATAGCTACGAGGATTTCCATTTCTCCAGGTATTTGTTTACGTTTGATATAAACATATTTGCATTATAGATATTTTTATACTGATGAAAAAATAGCAAATAATTATAAAGAATACCGATGTTTATAACTCGTTAATCAAGACTCGATAAACAAATTAAAATTTAAAAAAATCATACTGACTCGAATGATCTCAAGTCTCATCAACTTAACATTTTCAGAAATCGGTTAAGGTAATCTGGTCATATCATATAACGTAGAAGTGCTGACAGAATGACAGACAGACAAAGTGATTAGTATAGATTAATCCTGTTTAATATTTAATTTATGTATATAAAGACTTAACAAATTGAATGAACTCAAAACGGCGCCAGATCAGGCGCATTTTCTCGATGGACTGCAAAAATAGTAAGTACGAACGGAAACATTTATCTTGCTTTTTAAAGTACAATTCGATGATGTCGATTTTGTTTTCTTCACAGACAATACGGTAAATGACAGCTGGAATTGGTGTGACGAATGTCATTTATTAGGATGTGTTCCAAATCAAATAAAAACGATAAAACATGATGTAACACCAGATTTGTTTTATAAAGCAAAAGAGTTTATCGATTTAACCAGATACACCCTGACTACAACAGCGATATACAACAGGAAATCAAGATTTGAAGTATACAATATAGCTACGAGGATTTCAATTTCTCCAGGTATTTGTTTACGTTTGATATAAACATATTTGCATTATAAATATTTTTTATGATGATGACAAACGTAGTAAATACATGTAATTAAGTAATGATAAGGAAGAATCAACGGTAGAATACCGATGTTCATAACTCGTTAATCAAAACTCGATAAACAAATAAAAATTAAAAAAAATACTGACTCGAATGATCTCCAAACTGTAAGATACCGTCTGTGTTGGCAGGGGAGTGTCTCTTTTTTTTTAGCCATGGCGTTGTCAGTTTATTTTCGACTTATGAGTTTGAATGTCCCTCTAGTATCGTTTGCTTCTCTCTTGCACGTATCAATGGTCATGCAAATCTAATCTCAGTCAAAATATCAGGGTAGGAAATTGTGCACAATCGATAAATTTGCAAATGATGCGACACTATTGTCACCTAAAATTGCAGAAGAGGATAACATGTCTCTCGGGATTTGAGACAGAAATACGTGACGGTAAACATTTTCTGATGGTGAATGTAAAACTTCGACAGCGTCAATTTCAGTTGTTTTTTATTCTTAAATTTGCTGGATGATACTCATCATAGATAACAGGATTACAATTTTGTACGCTATTGCATGAACTTAACATTTCAAGTAATCGGTTTATGCAATCTGGACTTAATAATGGTAGAAATGCTGACAGAATGACAGACAGAAAGAGTGATTAGTAAAGATTTATCTTGCTTTATATATAAATCATGTATATAAAGACTTAAGGAATTGCATGAACTCAAAACGGCGCTAGATCAGGCGCATTACATCGATGTTCTGCAAAAATAGTATGTACGAACGGAAACATTTATCTTGCTTTTTAAAGTACAATTCTTTGATGTTGATTTTGTTTTCTTCACAGACAATACGGTAAATGACAGCTGGAATTGGTGTGACGAATTTCATTTTTTAGGATATTTTCTAAAGCATATAAAAACGATAAAACAGGAAATAACACAAGATTTGTTTTATAAAGCATCAATGTGTATTGATTTAACCAGATACACACTGACTACAACAGCAATATTCATAAGGAAATCAAGATTTGAAGTATACAATATAGCTACGAGGATTTCCATTTCTCCAGGTATTTGTTTACGTTTGATATAAACATATTTGCATTATAAATATTTTTTATGATGATGACAAACGTAGTAAATAATTAAGTAATGATAAGGAAGAATCAACGGTAGAATACCGATGTTCATAACTCGTTAATCAAAACTCGATAAACAAATAAAAATTAAAAAAAATACTGACTCGAATGATCTTCAAACTGTAAGATACCGTCTGTGTTGGCAGGGGAGTATCTCCTTTTTTAGCCATGGCGTTGTCAGTTTATTTTCGACTTATGAGTTTGAATGTTCCTCTGGTATCTTTTGCTTCTCTCTTGCACGTATTAATGTTTTTTTTATGATAAATGTATTACTTCAACAGCGTCAATTTCAGTTGTTTTTATGCCCCCATTTATGGGCATTATGTTTTCTGGTCAGTGCATCCGTTCGTCCGTTCGTCTGTTCGTCTGTTCGTCCGTTCGTCTGTTCTTCCGTTCGTCCGGTCGTCCGTCCGACCGTCTGTCCCGCTTCAGGTTAAAGTTTTTGGTCAAGGTAGTTTTTGATGAAGTTGAAGTCCTATCAACTTGAAACTTAGTACACATGTTCCTTATGATATAATCTTTCCGTGTACAATGGACATATTCTTGTTTATTCTTAGCTCTGCTTGATGATGTTTTTGTTAGAAGCAAACAACTGTTAATAAAGTGCGCAAAATTTGAAATATACTTATTAAGACACGATAAGACGAGATCAGAGACAATGTTACTGCAGAGAAATAGAAGTTCGTCAATATACATGAACGTTAAAATTAATAATTACGCAAGATGTTTTCTCTTCTTATTTAAATAAGTTTTTGTATGAATTCTGTTAAAAAAATGATCAGAATCCATTGGAAAAAAACTCGATAAAAAAATTCTAAGTTTGTGTTGACATCATCTTCGTTGGTTTTGTCGAATGTATAAATTAAAAAAAAAAATTCGTGACCTAAAAAAAGAAATTTGTATCAGGTTGTGACCACTGTATTGGTTACAAAACAAGTACATACTAATACTAAGCCTGAAAATTAAGCATCAAAACGGATCAACCGCATTAATAAAAATCAAATCATATTGGGCTGTTATGTTTTATTCCTCTACACATGTGAATTCTGATATTAAGTTTGAAAAAAAAACAACAATATTATCCAGGCATTTCAAATTAAACATCTGTGTCGATTTAAGGAGTAAACTATGTTATGTACAACACTATCTAGCATGACCTATACTGAGTTTTAAAATATATGATTCTCGTACCGTCTGTATACCATGAAACAACTTTAATCAGTTTATGGTATACTTTTAGGTTTTTGCTCTTCTTCTTTAAATCAGATTTCCAGTGAACAACTGTCGACAAGAGGTCAAATGAAGTGGCTTCAAGGAATCATTGGGAATCGTACGGCCTTCAACAATAGTGGATTGATTGTTGGTTATTTAACGTCCAGTGGCAGATATTTCATGCATGTTCAGGACGACCTTCAACATTAAGAAAAAACCCATACCGTATAGTCGCCTATAAAAGTCTTAGACATTCAAACGAAGAAACAAACGGTCTTATCTATAACAAAACAACTATCGAAAAACAAATATGGCAAACATGAACTAACAACAATCATTGCAAAACAGGCTCCTAACTTGGACAGGCACATATATAATGTGGCGTGATTAAACATGTTTGTGAGCACACATTCCTCCCCTAACCTGGAATTGTGATGTAACATTATTATAAGAACAAACAGTAAAAATCACAAAAATCAGTTGTAATTGGCTTTACTCAAAATATCGGCTTCAGTCACACAAAAAAACAAACAAACATAAAAACAATAGACACAAGCACCGAATAAAGAGAAGTATCTGAAAGCTAGTTTAAAGCTAGAAAAGTGCTTCGGACGCATGATATATTAATAACGCGTTGTTTTCATTATTTGTACAACTTATTCATTGGTCATGTTCTCCCATACTGAAGTATCAATCTAATTCGAATATGTACTTATATCTCAGATTGTAAATGTACAAAATATTCTTGTAGGTTGATTTAAGTTTTGAATTCAAATATATAATTACAATATTAATGTTATGAGCTGCTCAATAATGCGTTTATGATATCATTTAACTCCTTACCACGGTAAAATATAAGAAGGCTAAAATCAAATTAGATGTTAAAGAGCACAGAAAAACCAAAATGCCAAGACACTGTTGTAAATACTGGGTTTTCATAGATTGTGACCTATGTTCGACTGAGACATTCAGTTGAATCTGAAGCGGCATGGCGGATAATAAAGGATTAATAAAAGAAGCTAACCCAATTAAAGCACATTTCATTTTTAACACTTGACAATGTTTGCATACATGTTAAATTGTTCATTATATAGTATTAGTAGTACCTTTTAACATCAACATATGTTAATTGTACAAACCTTAGCATGGGGAATACCTTTGCCGTTACTTCATGATTTTTAATTCACTGTTAATGTATTCAATACTACAATAAGCAAATATATTTCCCGCGCATTATTGTGTTCAACATCTTACTTTATTTACATGCCTTTTAACCACAGCCATGCAGTTACAAGTTGTATCAAGTATTTCTAGTATTCATGGTTCCATTTGGCTTGTCATGACTGTTTTTTCTAAAGCCATCCATGTGACATTTCTGTTTGATGTACACGTACGGAGGATAACATATTTATAAGAATCTGCCGATTAGAAACTGATTCCTTTTGAAGTTCTCTTCTAGATGATGTGTTTCCCACGGGTTTAGTTTGTAACTCGGATTTGTTTTCTCTCAATCGATTTATGACTTTCGATTAGCGGTATACTACTGTTGACTTTATCTATGAACTCAATTGTTTATTGCATATTTTAGAAAATTAAAAACTCTGATATAATAAACAATAATAAGTCATTTTCAAGAACAAAAAACAAATTGAGGACATTTTGACATCAGTTTAACAATCTTATGAAAAAACAGTATGTCACTTGTTGAAAACTTTTTATCCACTAAAATTGTACGTTACCAGCTGTTTTGCAGGGACATATGACAACATGATGGGTCTAGGTAGAATCTTAATTGCTATTGGTGGATTAATCTTACTACAGACACACCTGTCAGGTTAGTATGGTATTAAAGTAAATGATCGACCGATTACGTATCATTAAATATTTACTGTTCTGAACTGCTACGATATACATTACTTAATTTATTATGGGAAAAGGACTTGAGTCAGAGTGTCATGCTAAAACACTATGGTCACAAACAAATTATGTTTTCACTTCCACTCCCACTGTTGCCACTAGTGTAAAAAAATAAAAACACAAAAATACTGAACTCCAAGGAAAATTAAAAAAAAACCCGGAGAGTCCCTAATCAAATGGCAAAATCAAAAGCTCAAACACATTAAATGAAAGGATAACAACTGTCATGTTCCTGACTTGGTACTGACATTTTCCTATGTAGAAAAGATGGATTGAACCTGGTTTTATAGCTAGCTACACCTCTCACTTGTATGACAGTCGCATCAAATTCCATTATATTGACAACGATGCGTGAACAAAACAAACAGACATAATAGGTAAAAATATCAAATATATAGCAGTCAACATTGTTTTATAATCTTAATCACTAAACAAATCAAACAAATATGTAACAAAGAAGCAAAAAATGGCATAAATTTGCCAAAGTACAATAACACAATGAGGGGATGTATAAATACAGAGCCACGAATAGGGAGCGTACATTATAAATCCCCTATGTTTGTGATATTTTGTGTTTCTCTATCTTTTATTATCTGCGTGCTGTTCTAAAACAAATCACGTGAAATTCACGTAAAACGAGATTAAACATGAAACTCACGTAAAAATTTTTACGTGTTAAAATTTTTACGTGAATTTCATGTGAATTGATATTGCTAATGTGCATCGTCAAAATACAATTATAGTAGAGTTGTTAGCCAAGGAATCAAAATATAGAATTCCCCAGCCCATCAACTGGATAAGAACTTCGGGTTACTGATGGATGCAGTTGAGGACTATGCTAGAAAATGAATAAAGCACGAACCAGACAAATCAGATCTGGACACTTTGTCTGAATGGATCAAAGCTATTTGATCATGCATTCAAATACTAAAATGCACTATGCGCACAATAGTTTATAACCCAATCTATAACCAGGAGGTTGTGGATGCTTTATCTTCTTTGGATGACAAATATGTGTTGTTCCAGCAGATAAAGCCTCCAATATTATTTTCTTCGTATGTAAAAACCATTATTTGCAATGTCTTACAAAAGATCTTGGAATAAACAGCAAAACTGGTGATCCTACATTCTTAAACATCATTTACAAAGAATGAAATTTTACAAAATCACAAATCTGTCCTTCTATCTTTTGGTATTAATATCAAAGAAAACGAAGAAAATCTATCACCATTATTCTAGATACCAAAACTTCACAAAACTCCGTATGAAGAACGATACATAGCTGGATCATCAAGATGTTCGACTAAACACCTTTCGAAAGTGCTGACTACTATTCCTAAAGTTTCTACTTTAAATATGGCCTTCGTTAATGGAAGATGTTTGTTGTTTTTCTGCAGTTTACATGTTGTAATGTACTATTATATTATTTATGTGTGTGTTTCACTGTGCTGAGTTTTCTGGTGTTTGTTTGTGCTGTATTCCTGTCACGTAGTGTTGTCATTTTAGCGATATTTTTTTTATATTGCCATATAAGCGGAAGGTTTGGCTAGCCATAACCCATGTTAAACTAACTTTTTTTTCTTAAAATTTCATGTACCAAGTCAGGAATTTGTATGTTATTATCAAACAGTTCTATGTTTGTTGGTATTTTTTTTGTTACACTTCAGCGGTATACTACTGTTGTTTTTATTCATTTCACGTGAACTTTACATAACAATTTTTGTCATGATTTCAATCAAGTTTGAAAATTTATGTGTTATTTAAAGTTTAATTTTGATAGTTCACACGAATTTCATGCCCCAAAAAAGACCATGTTTTTTTTTCATCTGGAATTCACGTGAAACTAGTTTACGTGAGTGTCAAGGTAAGCTCCTTGGAGATTAAATTCATATAAATTTATTCATCTGAATTTTATGTGAGATTGACATGAAATGCTAAGGGGTCTAAATATTGCACAAACAACATTTTCCTAAAGAAAAAAAAAGAGAAAAAAGTGTATTTCAGCAAAATACATTTGCCTAGCAGGTCGAACAACTGATGTTCTTAAACCCTGCTGACTGCCATTGGCGATGAAATATATATATATAAGTATATATTCATTTTAAAGCAGATTGTTTTTGAACGGTCTTTAAAATCACGATGCAACAATCAAACGCCATCGCGTGTAAAAAAAAGTCTAGTTGTTGATGAAAAGAGGTCGAATTTTCAAGACAGAAGATGGTTATTACTTATGAATTTGTTTTCTTGCAAATAAGAAAAGGTTGATTGTCATTCATGTTTTGGGGGAAAGGGAAGTCAAGATGAATAAAAGTATACAGTCCTTTGAATTCAACATAGAATTATTTTTATCACCAGTATAACAAACTAATGAGAAAATAATATATCACTTCTAACCACTACCCTTAACTTGATTAATTTCTCTTTGAATTCCATACCTAATCATCTGTATTTTTAGTGGTCAATAACTATAACAATCTGAGTGCCAAATGAAATGCAAATTATGGCCGAGAACATGTAAATGTGATATTTATATGAACCCTGGCATGTACTAGACCAACTTGCTGTGCCGGAATCTATATTCTAAAAGACCTTCACCCTCCCTAGTCACATTATTCTGACTAAGGCTAGAGTTTGCTCTTACTCCTAAATGCCGCGTATATGACAGACACGCAGCACATGCCAATGTTCAATTCTTTAGCTTGATGTGTTAACTACTGGTAATTAAGACATGTAGAGGCACATAATCGTCAAAATATTTTACCAGGGACAATCATATTTCATTATAGTCAGATTATCACGATTAAACTGCATACTGATACAATGAAATTCAACGAGGAGCAAAAAAAAGTCTATTATTAAGGTTTTTCAGGTCAAAGTCAGTCAAGGGTTCAGCTTATGCCTATACATTAGAAAGAGTTGTCCATCATTCCAATTGCAAATGCTCAGGTCAGGTAAAAAAATATTGATGTGAATTCTGAAAATGAATTTGTTGAAATCCTATGACCTCAATAGTTCTTTGCATATTTGCAACTTTTTTCACTTTACAAGCCATTCGTATTCCACAAACAATGATGTTTCAAAAATTTATGAGTAACAATACGTTTCTACTATATATAAATAACGGAAAGTCGAGGTGAATATAGGAAAACATAGCAAGCCGAGGTGAAGACAAGGTAAACAATATACTTTCGAGGGTGAAAATTGACTCTATTACACACTTCCAAGGTATTCAATCTATGAAGCTTCATGCTTTGTTTTTATGGTTGTTGATTTTGAAAGATATTGTTAGACTGTCTAATATCTTGGTTAATATCTAGAAATTGATAACGAGGGTCGGATGAAAACAAAACTTTACGACAAAAGAGATGATTTCAGCTTCCCAATTGAAATTCTATGTAGCAAAATTTCAGCAGTGCCTGTATACGGAGTATATATCTCCAAGGTGATACGATATTCCAGGGCTTGTATTTCCTATAACGATTTCATTGATAGAGGGTTACTGCTCACAAAGAAGCTATTAAACCAGGAGTTCCAAGTGGTGAAGTTGAAATCATCACTTCGTCATCACAAGTTGGTTGACCATTCTGGAATATATGTTTCACAGATGACGACGTTTTTTGTGAAGGTAGATACAGAAAAGCGCTTCGGATGAACAACATTTATAAAGTGCTATTTTCATTTCCATACCAGAGAACTGCCAAAACGATGCAAAATATTACAGAATGAGAAGGGAGTTGAGATGGATTGAAGAAATAAACATAAAATCACCAAATGGGTGAAGAAGAAATTAATGAATCTTATGGGGAGTACCAATAATTCAAAGTCGTTATGTCTTATTTTATTTAGAACTCTAAATCAAAAATGACATATGGTATAACTATGAATACAAAAACGTCGTAGTAATTAAACTATAATATGGCAGTCATAAGAAAAAGCAATAAAAGTAAGCTGGATTTTTTTTTTCATGTTTATGATGAAAATCCTGGAAAATATCTTACAATCTCTGTTTTAGATGTCAATGACGACTCCAATCTTAGGGCGGAAATGACTGATATCCAAGTAACTACATTTTCATTTGTTGGATTAATCTTACTGATGCTATGTTTGAAATTAGACAAGTATTGTTCATGTGTTATTTTGAAGAACCTAGTTAGTTCTGACTGAAATTTAAACATATCTTGTCTACAACTGACTATTGATATTTACAAAATGAACAATTTGTCGGTAGAATAGTGTAGACAAAAAATGCAAACTGTAGTTCTAAATCTTGTACCAGAGATATCTGATTAAAATATAGATCCTGTTTCCATGCTTCGCTAACAAGGATTTGACAACACCATTTCACTATCTTCTCTGGTAATTATACCATCAGACAATGATTAAACAGTTTTTTTAGATAAATGTTTACAATTGACAAGTGAGAGTCTAGAGTCGAGAGTCAAGACATTCAAATAAGGGAGCATCTCAAAAGTATGAATTTCATTATTAGCAGTACATTACCAGCTTTCATAGTATTGCATCCAAAAAATATATAATAATTGTTTTAACAAAAAGCTGTTTTAGCAAACAATTTGTAATTAATGTCATTCACTCCTTAGACAGAGAGACAGGTAAGGGACAACTTCACCGATATTCCGGAGGTCTTGAGATCACATTAAGTTTCTGTTCTGGCTGGGTTTGTGTCTAAGTCTGTAGTTTAATACGGTGTATTTTACTAGTGTTGTTTGTCTTATGGTCGTTTTTCGTTTTACCATACCGTTGTCATTTTTTTGTCGATGTGTATAGTATGAGTAAGAATATCACTTTGGTATTACCTCTCTGTTTGAATACCCGGGACAATTTTCTTGGAATATGCAAAAGCAAAAATACGACGGAATTATCAAATTCACATAAACACGTAAAAAACCAAAAGGTTAAGATCAAGGTCGAATTCTAATTACAATGAACACAAACTACACACACAGCAAATAAACAAAACATACATTCTGAGAATCCCTAGACAAAAAAGAAAATTTAGGAAGGAAGATAAGATATGCAATAAAAAGTACAAGTTGTCTCCAATGTGTTGCAAAATGGTATTATGAAAACAATATGTTCATAAATTCTGATAAAACTAAATGTATGGTTAAAGGCCTTAAGACAAATATTACGTTTCCTTCAAGTAGAACTATTCCGAGTAAATTATATGTATCTCTCATTTTTTTTTAGCAAATGAAAATTCCTTATTGTACCATTCTGGGTGTCTGTCTTTTTTTACTCTCTTTGTCACAATTTGGGTATGTTTATTTAAAATGTTATTAAACATTTTTTACCACATTTCGATACAGACAGACGGGACATTTTCAAATTCATTCTGTTGAAAAGGTGCACTTTTAAAAACTTGTTCATTAAAAGTCTAAATTTTCTATAAGTAATTGTTGAATGAGGATTGTTTTTTATCATCCATTTTCTTTTGTCTTTCATACATATTGGATAATGATCACTAATAGAATTTTTGGAAACATGAACCTCTTTGGCCGTGTTTAGATTGGTGAAATATATGTGCTCAATCAAAGTTTTAGACCCATTTGTTATTTGGGTTGGTTCTTTGATTATATGTTGAACGTTATAAGTTTCTAGAGCATTTAACCATCTTTGTGGTATGTTCTTGGATTGTAAAAATATTATGTCAGAATCTCTCATAAGAATAACGTCAAAATTAGATTTCATAGCCACCTTCATCTCATCCTTAAATTTTCTATCCAACCAATTAGTGATTTTGGTGGCGTATACACAAAGCACATTACTAGTAAAAAGGATATTTTTGGACGGGAAGAGGAGAGGCGTGATAAATTTTTCATTTCCTTAGAAGTCCCATGATTTTAATACATATCAACATTTGGACTGACTTGAATTGATTTTTGAATCGAAGAATTGGTTCGAGGCCTTTCTCTTCAGTTTGAAGGAGGCATTTATCATGATGCATAATGTGCGTTTAACATTTGTTACTGGACGTCACAGTAGCAATCAATGAATAAAAAATCTTTATGAAATATGCGTCTCTTAACATATTGGAACATAATGAAACTTAAAATCAATCAATAAATCATTCAATCTAACACACGAACCGAACCAATCAATCGATTAATGAACGAGAAGTTCGTCAAGAATGACATTATGTGAAATTTCAACCAATCAGTCAATTAATTTAATCAACCATTCAAACTAACCAATTCATATGAAATACATGCAATTGATGTTATGCATAATTTTATGGACCTACCAACCAACCAATTATCATGTTAGAAAAGGTGGAAAAATTTCACTCATATGTATTTTCATATTTATTGGAAGCAATTTTAAACAAGCTATTGGTGTGCCGATTAAATAAATAATTAAATAAGAACTTTTGACACGATCCGTTATTTAAATGTCTCAACTGCCAATTGTCAAGTGTAAACATTTATCTAACATGTCTAATAATTGATTGATTGTTTGTGTTTAACTCCTCTTTCGACACTTTTGGCTATTTCGTGGCGTTAATTTATTATTGATAGAGAAAGCCTGAGTTCCCGACGAGATGCACATATATTTGGCAGGTAAATTGCAAATCCTATGCAAATAGATCTAGAGTCGAACGCACCCGCCACGGTTTAGATTCGAACTCAAAACCTCATTATTGACAGGCTAGTGAATTAGTAGATGAACAACTTAGACCACTCGGCCCGCCAGGACCACATCAGTAAATAAAATCTTTGTCTACAAATGCTTCACGAAGTGTATCCTTAGGACAAAACCTGAGGATCGTGAAAGGGGTTTAAAATAAACAGTAGAACGTAGTGTTGGCAGATTCTTGTAAGCGAAGCGTGGACACAAGATCTGTATTCAAATAATTTCTTTTTCATCGTCCATATTGGGGTTACATAAACTTCATGATATAGACAACAGAACAAAATCAAAATATTTGACAATAACTTCATGTATATTTTTAGTGCTAGGGCTACGTCATACACTGACGTCAACACTAGATACAATAGGTAAAACACGACGTCGTTACCCCTGAGATATTCTCAACGTAAGTCCGATTAGACGTTTGAGGTTGTCTGACCAAATTGAAACCTCAACGATTGGATTCACGTCAGTCATTAAATAATCCTAGGCTTGCTAAAGTGTATCTTGTCTGTTAAATATTTAATAGAGCTTGTATGCTTCCTTCATTCTATGTGGTTGTCTGTACTGTTCCGTAAGTAAATTAATAGCATCTATGTAACTTCCATTTGTTAGCACAAATCCTATCCAAAGCTTCCATTTCAATTTTTATTTATTTTAGATAATAAGAATTTTCTTTCTATACCAATGAAAGGTTGAAATGTACAGCAGATTCTTACTTATCAACAAACATTTGCCTTTCAAGACTTAGGCAGTGTAAACATAGGTACACGATAGTCACTAGCGATATTTGTTAGCGCAATACGACTTATATCAGAGGCATTATAACTTGTCAGTGGTTGAGAGACAAATGAAGCGTAGACTGATGTTGTGTTTTGAAAATAATAACTTTCGCTGGGTGGGAAGGAGAGCTTTCTACATTGAGTATTTGAAATGAAGATTGTGTTACATTGCAACGTGCTACATGGTCTTGAATAATTTGTTTCAGACTGTATAAATGTATCAATTTAGTGCAGAAATTATTAGAATACTTATCTTTGTTAAAATTTCAGATCACACATTGTCTTAATCCGCCAGACGCGTGTCTCGTCTACAAATAAGTTATCAGTGACGCTCGTATCAAATTGTTTCTAGGCAAGTCATTTACCAATGCTCAAATTCATTAAGAAAAAAACAAATCAAGGTTTAAACAAACAAAACTGTGAGAATCACGTGAAACACCAAAAGGAAAGATATTGGGTGTGTCGCCAGGGTAAGCGTCTGCTGCTGTGCATACATGTTAAATGGATTTGTGAAATATGAACATCAATTTACAACTGTTGTCTCTAGTTTATGGAAAAGTTAGCAATTATTTCTTTATAATTATTTATTTCCTTAACGCTATAGTTACCCGTCTCTGTTTTCATTTTAGCCTACACATTAAATGGTCTTCGCTAATTGTAGCGATTGTAAAACAACAGAGTCAAACATTCAGCACAGAGTTATTTGAATTCATAAATTATTCAGGAAATTTAGCACAGTATTCCAAAATACAAATTACACAATTTGCATACGTCCATACGTAACTATGTCTGTCTTTGTGCTTGAATGACCATTTTTATAATAATGTGGTTTAGAATGAAAATATCTTGAATACAACACATAGTAGAATATATTGTACTAGTATGTTATGATATTCCATCATATTGAGTCTGTCACGATGAAGTTAGATTATGAAACAATACACATCGATAGGTTGTAGGCAAAATCAATCAATTGAGTTTACATTTTACTTTGCCATTGAGTATGCGGAATATATTGGGAATATTTACTAACTTTCTATCTCTGAATGTCCAGATAAGAAAACTTAAGGTGGATGGGGGGTCTTAATTAAAATCCATAGATTTTTTTAATAATTTGGAAAAGGAAAAAATTGCATAAGCTCAAAGAAAAAATGATATTATATACATTGTGTGCTTTATCAAGTAAATGTTTGTGGTTGTCTTTAAGGTATTTCGATATACACAGTGTATTCCTACTGCATCTTGTGTACGTCTATTAGATAGATCTCATTTATAGTATTAAAATCTAAGAACTCAAATATAGAAAACTTTTCAACAAATGACCGAGCTTATGAATCTGAATATCCCTTTGGTATCTTTCGCTTCTCTTTCATGCAAATATGAAATGTCATAATTTTATATATTGCCTAGGTCGATGTCTGTGTGAAATTTTGTCAAATACTTTTAGAACAGGCTGTCGGTTTCTTCTTACAGTAAAAACTATTTTCTATGCAAAAATCATTCATATTTTTATTCGAGCACCACCAATGAGTCCTATGTAGACGAAACGCACGTCTGGAGTACCAATTTATAAACGTAGTATCTTTGATGTGTTTTTATACCTTAAATTTTCTAAGAATATTAAATTTTAGTATTTTAAATTTTAACAACCTGTAAACAGTTTGGCTTTCGATATTTAAAAAAAAAACGTTTGAAGTATGTGTAATGGGATATCACATT